TAAAAAAATTTACAAAATGACTATTTTATTGCTAGAAAGAAGCATCAAATACAAGGAAATATATTTGTTAAGGAACAACAACGTATTAACTATATTTTGCTTTAAGGAGCATCTGCGGTCAGAAATGAGGTGCACGGTCTTGCTGAATATGTGTTCTAATTCGCAGGACGTATGTGGCACAGTCACACTCAACACCATCAGGAGTTTTTAAATCTGACAGAATTATTGGAGATGTATTTATTAGTTAAAGTACATAGTTAATAATATATAAATATTGTACTTTCATCTTTTTCGCTTACCGCTTTCAGCTGTTTACTGTTTATGGTCTTACAGTCGCACTCAATCAATGATTAATTAAGGTGTTCCTCAGTAACGAGTTGAATAAGTTCCCCCTCAGAGTCAGTTAATGATTTATTAACAGCATTTAATGAACATTACAGTTAAGTAAAGAAAAACCATTACTTAACTTTCTAACGAATGATTATAAAATTTTTAGTTTATTTTCAATAAATTTCAGTTTCGCTAACGTTGCTGTAACAGTCGCAATGGCCCAGTGAGCAGAGTACTGGCGCTACATTAGAGACATCCGAGTTTAATCCTCGGCAACGGGTTTTTTTTTATTTATTTTTTAATACATTTTTTCATTTATTTTTAAATTTTATTGTTTAAAAAAAATATATTTTTAATTTCATTTAATGTTTAGAAACTTTCATAATAAATTTTTTTATTTTTTTACTTTCATTTGCTCAACATTTTTAGTTTTTATTTTTTTAAAAAAACATCCTTTTTTTAAAATCGTTTAGTTTTTAGAAAACTAATTGCAAAAAGATAAATTAGCAGATCTTTCAATTAGTCCTTCGAAATACAGAAAAGAGCTGTCAAGATAGTTGCCGGCAAATAGTTTCTAAAAATTAAATGAAATTAAAAAATTAGTATCTTTTTAAAACAATAATATCTACAAATCAAAAGAAAATTAAATTAAAAAAGCGAAAAAAATAATTGAGACAAGTTTCTAAAAATTTAACATGAAAAAATACATATAAAAAGGAAAAAAAATCCTGCTTTTGGACGCGAACTCATATCTCTCGAATGGCACGCCAGTTGCGACAGTGGGCGCATAATTATATAAATACTTATTTTTATATTTGATTTCGAGCTGAACGAAAACAGTAAGTGATACCACAAAGAAAAAAAGGGCCGGAACTGGGGCCATACTTAAATTTTTCATTAACTTATGAGCCCTTATCTTTTTACTCTGAGAGGAAACATTAACTTACAGATTTAACGATCATTAGTTAAGTGCCCCTTTTAGCCAATTTAAAGTATGTTTCTGAGTGCGGAGAGCAGAGATAGAGATATAGAATGGGAAGTAGATAAATATAGGGACAAAGACAAAAAACAAAAGATAAGATGAAGTTACGTTTTGACGCATTTCACCTCAACTCACCTCATCTAACTTTAACTGACCTTAACTCAACTCCCCGCAATTCACCTCAACTCACCTTAACTCACCTCACTTTAACTCGCCAAAACTCACGTCAGATCACCTTAATTGGGTAAACGATAGTGATAATAATATATATAATATAGGATGCTTTTTCATTTAATTGTAGAACTTTTATTGAAATAAATTTATAAGACTAGATAAATTGGAAATCGATAGCTGAGTGGAAGATCGATCTATCTCGGCAGCCAGTTCGAAAACACCCTATCTCAGAAATTTTTTTAAGAATGCCCTTTTTTAGGATTTGGTTGAAGAACGCCCTATCTCAGCACATTTTCAATAAATTTCCAGATGAGATAGGGCGTTTTTGAACTGAATTCCGAGATAGGGAGTTCTTCAATCAAATTCTGAAGTAGTGCGTTCTTGAAAAGCTTTTTTTCGAGAGAGAGAGCGTCTTCGAACTGGCTGCCGAGATAGGTCGATCTTCCACTCAGGTGTCGAAATAAAATTGTAAAACCATTTAGCCTAGCTGCCATGCATAGAAGATTTCCGACTGGCCATTTTAGTTTCTTCGCCACGATAAGAAATCTCATACTCTGCTTTTCACCTGAAAAAGTATTTCCAATCTTTGTATAAAAACATTGAAAACAACAGCCACTGATTACTTTGTTTAGATGCCATGAGCGAGAATTTTACATTTAAATTCTATGCTTCTTTTTTTAATAAAAAAAATCTAAGTACCCTTAAAGAGCGAGCAATGAAAGTTTCAATATCTCATTACCATTCCCGATTGCCGCCTATTAACCCAAGCCCCACCGTGAGTGCTTCAGCGCTGCACAATTTTGCATATCAGATTTCCATTTTTTTCTGAATTTTTATTTATTTTCCCGTATTAATTTGTATGTTTTTCAATAATTTGGCAAAAATTTCCGACTATTTTCCTTGTGCGTTTCCTATCTTCCTGCCCACACATCCTGCCTATCGAGCGGCGCTCGAGCACTGTTCTCTCACTCTCACTGCTGCATACAGCTGGGTTAAACGAGTACATACTGGCAAATCTGGGCAAGTTAAGTCTCTCGTCAATTCATTGAAGCGTGCAAACATTTGTAAAGCTCTTTTGGTTGGGAAAAGGCAAGTTTTCCTGTGTGTGTGTGTGTGTGTTTGTGTTGTGTATATGTGCAAGCTTTTGCATGTGTGGGTAAGCCACACCTTGTCTCGTCGCTGATTGGTGTGCCAACGGAAAACGGGTTGTTGGTATTAGTAAGGGCTGCATATCAATATGGGTGCTTAACACTAACATGTTGTTATTGCTTTTGACAATAGTGTTGGGATTAAGGCGCGCGCACACACACACACATGCATGCAACCGCACAGTGGAAACACCCCTAAAGCCTGATTGAGGCTGGTTGAAATCGAAACGACAAGCAAGCAGTGCGAGCTGCGCAACCTGTAGGTGGGTGGATGGGTGGTTGGAAGGCAGCGAGCGAAACAAACAGCCAGCCAACCAACCACCAACCCACATTCACCACATCCGCAAACTCACCCCTGTAGCGCGTATTTCGTAAGGGCGGTCGGGTTGGTGGGTGTGTGCCAGCGACACACGCGGCGGGGTTGTACGTGGCGGCGCGCTGCTGCACAGCAACCTTTGGCTGCGGCAGAGCCCGGTAACTGGGCAGGATATGCGCGATTTGGCGACGGAATGAAATCAATTGTTACGTTGCCGTGCCACAGATCGGTCGCAATCCGGTGTAATAAAGACGAGCGTGCAAATATAGAAATAGAAAACAAACAAACAAACAAACAAAAAATAAACGACTTGCGGTGTGTGAAGAGAAAAGCAAGAAATTTGTGATTTACGTAATTCGTAGTGTGCTTTTAGGCGTACAGAGCCACAGGTGTAAGGCGAGTACTTAGTTGGCGAGAAAACTTTTAGATGAAACTTCTACTTTAAGAGGCTAAAAAGCGACATTTTCGACAAAGCAAAAACACTTAGCAGCGAATAAGTTTAGTAAGCGCTCACTCATTTAAGGAAAAGACAAATCAAGCACGCCACTTAAATACATATAAATAAATCTGCGCGTATTCCAAATATTACAAATAAATAAGTATTACGAAGCATTAGCTCAGCGTTTGGAGCAGCCGCAGACGACGGACGGTGCTGGCAGCAACCAAAGTTGCCCGGAAGTCGAGGTGTCCGGTAACGGTAACCGGTTCCGATCGTCACTTTTCCCGTTCCTTTTCCTGTTCCGCCGACGCCAGCGTGCCTAAGCGCCAGGCACCAAAAACATTTCAGCGCCTTTGCTCGCACGCGCGCATATAAGTACGTACGTATGTGTGTGTGTGTGTGTGGCTGCTAAAGCTTACGCCTCCTCTTCGACGCTTGGACTTATGCGCTTACGTGGATACATCTATTCCCGCATGGTGAATGCTCGTCGTAGCATTTAAAATAAATTAAATTGAAGGAGTGTCGGTTACGGCAATTCACTTCTTTTGCCAACTCAACTAACATTTTCAAGCGCGCATTGTTCTTACGTGCTTACAAACATAAATACATACATGCGTAGTACCCATAGCAGACAGAGCGCTTGTGTGTGTGTGTTTGTGTGACTGTATAGGCGCAGAAAAAAGGCAACGGCGACGGCGACGGCAACGGCAGCTGCGTCGCATTCGGCGACAAAATTGTTGGTCTCCGGTGTTATTACCTTCCGGTGTGACCGCCAACGAGGCACAATTACCCAAACACACAGAAACATTCGAAGGATTTAAATAGTTGCGATTCGAACGTGAGCGCGTGATTTCATATGTCAGTCACAGTGCTTTTTTATTGCACACAAGTGTATGCGTTTGAATGCTTTTCGAATTTTTGCTGAAGCCTCGCATCCGATTTGTACTTTTCAATGCTCGCCGATTTTGCACGGCTGATTTGAATTTCAAGTGTTTATTTACGGTAATAAAACTTCAATTAAGCGAATTCGAGTGTGTTACTTAAAGGAAACATTTACTAAAAAAACTGCGTGTACCGTAAACTTTTGTGTGCGCATAGTGTACTGATTTCTATTAACTGCAAGCACTTTGCCAACTTGTAAGTGCATTTGCGCAGTTTGGCCGTCGGCGGCTTGTTAGATAAGGCAAAAATTGCCGCCGCCAATTCGCGCTACGGTGCCATGATGCTTGACATTAAAACCTCTGCTGATTATTTGTCACGTTCGACGGGAAGTTTTAGCAATTTTTCAATGTTATTCGCAGGTGAGTGTAAAGAAATTTATGAAAATTTTTAATTTTAATTTTATTCGTGAAGAAGAAATTTTACATATGTATTTGTTGTGAGCCATTTTAGTTGATGAAATAAATTTTTTACAGCTCAAAAATTAAATTTTTAATTACACTGTGCGGCAACCGACACCAACCCGGACTTTGTTAACATTTTGTGAAAGTATACCAATCCAATAATCAAACACTCGATGCATTTCCGAAAGCTAGCTCGTATTTTTATTTACTAAAGTTTTCATGTCCTGGCTTAAGGAGTTAAAATAAATGTCTGAGCGAAACAAAATGCCAAGACGTAAATGAAGTCAGGGTCAAAACGGCCCTTTCGGGCGGGAGCTGATGGGTCAAAATGTTCTACGAAAATATTTCCCATGCAATTTTACTGTCTATGTCTTAATCTGTAACTTCTCTAAGACTTTAATTTTTCCACTTAAAAAAAAAAATTTAAATAATAATTAGAGATAACTTTTGCAAATCCATGGCATGTTTTATTACTGGATATGTATACTTTCATAAAATATTAGCAAATTCCGGGCTGGCTTGATTTGCCAAATAATTGTCGCACAATTCTGAGAAATAAAAAAAAGACTAAACAAATTTTTATCTGAGCGAAATGTCAAATTCAAGCATCAATAATTAGCTTCGACGAGGAAAATTTCTGTAGCATATTTTAACCCGCAAACTCCTGATGGTCATTTTCTGCAAATCTGTAAAAATTAGTTTCTGAAGTCTTTAAAAGGCATGCAATTTTTAGAGAATCATTTCACAGAAAATTGCACTTGGGATATCTTAAGACAAAATCTATATTTTTTGGAAATAAAATAATTATAAAGTACATGTACTCATATACATACAGTCAGAGTAAAAAGTTATTTAGTGTTTTAATACAATATTCATAATTATTTTCATAAAAAAAATTTCATAAAATATGAAAATATTGTTCGTTCTATAACATAGACCATATGAATTAGAGTTTCACACTTAAAATAAAAGAAGCAAAAATTAAAAAAAACGCAATAAAATTCCAACTTTTTATTCCAAAATTTTAGAAATTTTTCGAGTATGCAGTTTTGTTGCCCATAACGCATGATCGAATTCTATTTTTAACTTAACTTGCCCCTTATTGTACTAAAATTAAATGGGCTACGAAATTGCATACTCGAAAACTTTATAAAGAATCCGAATAAAAAGTTAGAAATTTTGATGCAATTTTTTTGATTTTTGTGTGAAATTTATATAAAGTATTAGTTTTTGATTTACATGGCTTATGTTTTAGAATGAATAATTTGTATTTTCATAAAAGATTAAAAAAAAAATGACTATGAATATTCTATTAGTACTAGCTGTATGCTAACTTTTGACTCTGATTTTGGCATGCGCAAAGCTTAAGGGGACGTCATACAGCCTTCATTGTTTCTTTTGGTGGAAAATAATACGATCAAAATTTGTTCATTAAAATAAAAAATCTTCAAACTTTTAACGATGATGGAAATTTAAAATTCTAATTTGATACTTTCTGAAGCTTGCTTAATTTACCTTTTCCTCAAGAGTCAAGCATATAAAAACTTTTCCTTTAATCGCCGCAAATTTTTATATTAAGAATGGCGTAACTTTCAATTGAAATAATTTAAATATTTGTTAGTCTACATTGCCTCATGGTTGGTTTTATGCAAGATTTCACAAATTTAAGTTTGCTGAATGATTTCTCACTGGATGCGATTGAATCAGTTTAGCTAGAAATATCTTTAAAGCTGACCCTAATGCCTGTCCCACAGTGTGGAAAATTAACTTTTTTTGTGGCAAAATCAAAGAGAAAAATACTTTGACCTTTAAAATGATTAAATTTTTTCTTTTTTTTTTGACCTGAAAGCAGTATGCAAGGAACTTTTTAAAAAGTTTTAAGCATATACTATTTATGCCGTTATTGCGTTAAAGGATCCATTTCCATGGTCGCAAGAATCAGGGTTAGAAGTTTATTAGGATCGTATTAGACTTACTGCGAATCCTAAATTTGGTTGATGAGAGTGAGAGAGAGAGAGAGATATTGGCAGAAGCCAAGAAGAAAGTCGTGGGAATAGCGTGTGTAAGTAAAGTTGGAGCATGCGCTCCACGTTTTCCATTTTCAATTTCATAGATTGTTTATAATGACTTTTGCTAAAATTTCAAAATCAAAAGTTATCAAAACAAATTCTATGGGACTGAGAAATATTATTTTCTACTTTTTAGTCCATTTATAAAAGCGTTGTATATTAAAAAGTTTTTTTTATATTATTTATTTTTTATTTTTTTTGATGTTGGGTTGAACCGGGCTTGAACCCAGACCCTGCGGAGTGGATCGTCTTAATTACGCCAGTGAAAAAGCTTCCATAGTGACATCGTCCGCACAGTATGGGAGAACGGAGATTATATTCCTGACAAGTACTGGCACGCGTAGTAAAATTTATATTCCCCTACGGCATGATAGTGTGGTCATTAAAACTCTTGGCTAGAAATGAAATTCCTCGTTCACGTTTTTGTTCGTCAAGAGGGTGTCGTTCTATTCAAATGCCTACCGAGCCCAAAGTATCAGCTGTTGGCAAGAGTTATACTTCTCTTTTTGTGGTGCGATTAGTTTTCCCCACTCTCCCCCCGGTAAATTCTGCGCTCACGACTCTGGCAATGTGACCGACGACATCAATGTTATCTTCATACTGCAGTACCATCCTGATTTTGCTATATATATTTGGCACCTTTACAATCGCCACCCGCACTGAGGATTCCTTCCCGTATCATTTCTTCGAGGATCCCTGCACATAGACATGTCGTCGTCTTTTCGTTCTGTCATTACTGGAAAAATGCGGTCTTTCGTGGTTTTGCCAGGACTAAAGCCACACGGAAAAGGTCCAAGCACTTTTTTCACGAAAGGTTTCAGTCTCTCGCATACGATGGAAAGGTTTATTTATATACTGGCATCATACAATACATTCTAAATGCTTACTAATTTTATTTCGGACTGGAGACTCCTCTTTAAAATAAATTATTTCTTTTTTTTGCAGATTCTTCGTACAAATCCTCTTGGGGATCTCATAGCTCTTCGCAATCGCAGGGTAAGTATAGTTAGTTCATATTTGATTTCTTTTAACCGTAATGCAACAAGAAAGCGTGGTATCTGTCGAAATTTTAAATCATTTAGTGTATTCAGAAAAAAAAGTTGTAAAGAGCTTTACAAAGTCGGATTTTCATAAAAATTTTAACTCAAAATGCAAACCAACAATTGTTAGGTTCTGCTAAAACGAACATAATTTGAAAAAAAAAATGAAATGTTATAAAAAAGTGTTCACCAAAACAATTTTTTTTTGCTTTTAAAATACTTTTTTTTTTATAGATCATTAAATTTTAATGTGATAAAGTGCAAGTTCCAAGTGGCTAAGAGTTCCCGTTGGTTTTTAATAACATAACAAACGCTTTTATTTCCCAAATGCTCCAAATGTTAAAATTTAATGAGCTATAAAACTGCATACCCAAAATTTTTTTAGAAACTAATTTTTTTTTCTTGGTGAAATTTTTTTTATAACATTTCTAACTTTTCTTGTGAAAATCTTTTCATTTTTGGGAGAACCCTGCCATTGTTTTCAACTAGTTTTTATTATGTAACATTTATTAACTGGGATAGGAGAACCGATTTTTTTCGAAATTGCCACTAATTCTGCATTTTGCACCAAAAAATTTAATACAAAGAAAACAAAAATTCAAAATTCGGGCTCAAATGGTCTCTTGCAAATTTTGTTAGCTTTCATAAAAAAAAATCAAGTTGAGTGAAAAGTGAGGTGAGAATAAAAGTGAATTGTGAACACTAACTGCCAGGTTTGAACCACTGTACATCGCTCCAGCATTCTTAATGGCCGAGTGAGCAAAGCACAGGCGTGCCATCCGAGAGTTCCGAGTTCGAGTTCTGGGGCAGCAGAACTTTTTTGTAATTTAAATTTTTTTCTTTTCTAATTTAGTTTTTATATTTTAGTGCTTTAAAAGGAAAAAGTATATATTTCTTCTATTTCATTTAGTGTTTAGGAACTTATATATTTTCTTCTTTTAATTAATTGTTGTTCTTTTTTAGCTAAATTTTCTTGTTATTTTAAAATTTTATTGTTTAATTAAAAAAATGTTTGTTTTTAATTTCATTTAATTTTTAGATTTTTATTTGATTTATTTCTTCATTTCATTTTCTTTTAATTTTTATTTTATTTTATCAAAAGAATAAATATATTTGTTTTATTTAATTTAATTTTTCAGGTTTCATTTTGTTGTTATTTTTCTTCATTTAATTTTTTTATTAATAGTCTCATTTTCTTTAAAGTTTTAAATTTTATTGTTTAGAAAAGAAAAAAATTTAATTTTATTTAGAATTTTGTTTTGTTTGTTTCTTCTTTGTATAATGTAATTTGATTTTCTCATGTTAATATCATTTTCTTTTAATTTTTATATCAAATTAAAAAGAAAAATATTTTTTTTATTTCGTTTAAGCTCCTACTTGACTACTTTAATTAATTCGTTTTTGTCTTTTTTAATTTAATTTTCTTTTAATTTTTAGGGTTTGTTTTAAAAATGAATTTTTTTAACTTTATTTAATTTTCAAGCAATTTTTGCTTCTTTTTTAATTTCGTTTAATTTTTTAAAAAATATTTTTTTTCATTTTTGCTTTATTTTCATTTTACATGGTTTCATTATTTTTTATTTAATTTTCTTCTATTTACTAGTTTTTATTATTTTAAGAAGTAAAAAAATATATATATATATTTTTGATTTAATTTAGTTTGAAATTTTTGTATTGCTAATTTGTTCTTCGAAAGACAGTAAAAAGCTTTCAAGAAAGTTGCCAGAACTGCCCTGTAATTTACTCTTCGAAATTTTTACGTAAACTTTTAAGTGCCAATATTTCAAGTTTTTCCAATTACCAGCCAAAGTTATTATCACCTGCGGTAACACACACCCATTTACAGGTTCACACCCAGTTAACTATGAATACTCGTATTTTTATGTATTTGTGTAAATGACGTTGTAGTATTGCTAAGAACATGCAGTTTCAAAATATATCGACGACTACAGGTAATAGTAGCGACACATACAAACGTTTTATAGCAAATAAGTCAATGTATATCTTCAGTCAAAAGATAGCGTGAAGGTGTGAAAATTATTTCGTGTATTCGATTAGTCCTTATGAACACGCACATAAAAGGCGTTGCCTATTCATGTGTACAAAATGCATAACAGGCACAAATTTGATTGTACCCTGAAAGAATTTGAACTTTGCGCCGAGAATTGAATTTCATTTGTATGCGTTAAATAAGTAAAGTAGTTTCAAACAAGTTCTTATAGTCCTACAGGGTAGTTGCACAACATTAATATGCTGAAATGTTCATCTACATCTACCCTTCTACCCATTGCATTAATGCCTTTTTGCTCTCAAACATTTACATGTACAAATGAATGTAAATATGCGTGTAAATTTGTGAATTTCTTCGGCTACTCGCTTCAATGAGCTCATTCAAGCGTACGATTTAAACAAATCGACAATCAATAACAACAAATAATAAATGTTTGCTTGAACGAATGAATGGCGGGTTGAAAGAAATTGTAATCATAACCAGAAACATGGGTTTTCCATGTAAACCTCAAATATGTATGCATTTCGAGATAGAGGTGTAAAAAGGTGGTTATAATCGTACATTCACATATGCATATATAGTATGTATACTAGGGTGGTAAAAAAAAAATTAAGTCGGAATTTCATTGCTCTCGCTCACTAGGATTGTTCTATATCGAAAAAAATATAACTAATAAAATATTTCCATGGGGAAAAAACAACTTTTCATGGAAATGGTATAGAATTCTTGAAAATCACTATTTTTCGATCGGAAAACTCTTTCTCTTCAAGACACTTTCAATAATAATACCCAATTGTTTATTTAACCATTTTTTAATACTTACGATTGTTTACTAGTCCCCCCATTCCATTTTGTTTGGGGTTTTTGGCGGACCTATAAAATATAGTAACCATAAAAAATGGTTATGTAAACAACAGGGTATTATTACATTGAATCTCCTGAAGGAAAACCCATTTTTCCGATTGGAAAATATTGATTCTCAAGAATTCTATGCCATTTCTACGAAAACTTGTTTTTTTCTGATATAATATACATGGAAAACTTTGAGCGGTTTGAGCGACCTGTGAATATGTTTTTTTTTCAAAATTAAAAACTGGGGTGAAAATTCCGACATTACTTTTGCACAGGCATTTTTGGACCACCTTAATATATACATTTGTAATATTTAGAAGGTTTTTTAAAAGGAGGGTCGGCTCTTTGTGTGTTGATTGGCTTTTATCAGGCCGCAAAAAGTGGGTATGCATATTAGCACTTTATACCACTAGATGCTTATATAAGCTGGCTAATCTCAATTCTTTGTGGTTCAATGAAAAGGGTTCTGGTATTAGATAGGTATCGACAATTTTTTTGCTGCTTTACATTACTAAGTTGAGAAATATTTTGAATGCACAGCAACACTAAATTTTCATATCTCCTAAGACTGTCCACAGATCCACTTTTCCTTTTGGTGTCGTTTCTTTCACTTAAACGTTCATAGCTTCTATGAAAGGCGCTCTAAATGGTTTCTTGTTCTCACATCTTCAGGGTCGATGGGTGACAACTTTTACTGGCCTTCATATTAGGGAAGGATTTCAATATGGCCAGAATATGTACTAAGGTGACTGCTCTATACATTCCATTTCTAAAAAAAATCTAGCTGTCTTTTTAGCAGCCTGCACTCTGAAAACAATTTCGTTTAATTGCCTTACTGCCCTCTTTAGTAGAATAGGTAGTTGTTGCAATTGTTGTCGTGGCACTACTGAGTCCTGGCGAGATCGCTTAGCCTAGAAATCGATGTCACCAAGCTCAATTAATGCTAGGTCCAAGAATTATCCTGCTTCGACGGGGGTCGGACCAAAGGAAGAGTAGTATTAGCTGAGTGGACGGTAATTCTGACAGAGTTACACGAGTCTCTTGAGGCAGCTGAAGCTCTCTGGCAGCCCTAAAATTTTGGTGATGCAGATCTGAGGATGAAGACCCCTTTACCAAACTTTGGCGGACCCTTGAAAAATGCCACTTCTTTCTTTCTCTAACTATCTCGTACCATCCAATCACACCTTGTAGGAATAGAGAGAGATGTTAATGAGATCAGATTAGTGTTTGTCGTATATCCTTTATACTCGGAGGGTTAGACACATAAAGATCCTATGCTCAAGTAGTAAATTTCATATATGTATGTACATATCCCAAATTCTTTTCTTTGTTGTATTGTAAAAAAGTTTCAACGTTTCAGCCGCATGCATTAATAAGCCAAAGTCTTCTTATGTATTCCCTCTCAGCATGTCCTGTGCAGTTTCAGCTTCGTTGGATGTACAGTACAAAAGCCCAAAAGTTTGGCATCAACAGCTCGCCATGCCATACACCTCGTCTCACTCGACAACAAAACTTTGTATTGTCTATGTACATACGCTTGAGTGGCATCACAAAGGACATCATCAACGACATCACTGTCACACCACATCACACCAATTCGCAACGCTTGACTTTCACACAAACAAATGCATGACGCGTTGCTGTTATTGTTGTTGTTGGCAGTGATTGCGCTTTTGGCTAGCGGCTGCTTACACTCGTATGTTGTGAGTCAGTCAGTCGAGTCAGTCAGGCAGACGTACGCGTGTTCTGCCAAAGTGACAACAAAAATAGAAAAACAAAAGCACTACCTTACTAGTATTTCTGCTGTTGTTGTTGCCATTGCTGGGTGGTGTCACAGTTGTGTTCCAACGCCTGCGGGTGTAATTTCTATAGCGCCTACTTTTGTCACTTTGGTTGTCGCAGCGTTTCGGCGTGTTTTTTCGGCAACATAAATACCACTCCACATTGTTCTTGCTCTGTGTGTGCCTGCGCAGTGCCATTTGCTCTTTGCTATTCCAGTCCCATTGCTTGTTGTTGTGTTGTTGCATGTTTTTCTTTCGCACTGTTGCGTTCTGGAACAATTTTAAATTGAATCGCTTCAGGCATTGTTTCAT